TATCCCATAGACATCAAAATCTCCTAACCAAAATAACCCAAACTAACAACCTAGCCTTTCAGTAGTAAAATGTTTGCAGTTCTTAAGGACATCTGTTAGCAGTAATTGACTCATTTCCCATTTCTCTTCCCATCAGAATATAGTAGCAGTAGGAGCTGGTTTCTGTGATGGCCTTTGCTGCGGTGACAATACCAAAGCTGCTGTTATTCGCCTTGGCCTAATGGAGATGATCTCCTTTGCCAAACTCTTTTGCAAAGGACAGGTGTCTACTGCCACTTTCCTGGAGAGCTGTGGYGTTGCTGATCTCATCACAACGTGCTATGGTGGCCGGAATAGACGTGTAGCAGAAGCAGTGGTTAAAACTGGAAAGGTACCTTATTCACTGCATGAAATCTGTCCTGCCACTCCTTGTTTGCTGGAGCAATAGTAGAGTTATCTGAGTCATGGTATCTCTAGTGAGTGAGTACCCTTGTCTTTCCTCTTGTTTTTTGAGTCTGTTACAAGGCTAGAATGAGTGTAAAGTGTTAAAAGGTGAGGGGTTGGTGATTTAAAAAAAAACCTCAAGAGACAAGATGTTGGGAGATGGAGATTTAAGGAGAATACTTACAAACAATAATATAGAATATTAGATATGCTCACAAAAGTCTTTTGAAAAAGAAAAAAACTCAGTAACTTTTTGTTTTTAGTCCAGATGATGTTGCCAGACTTCTTAAAACTTTACCATAGCACGCCTTTGCTTTCTTTTTTTACCTCTGTTGCTTAGTCTATTGAAGAATTAGAGAAGGAAATGTTGAATGGTCAGAAACTGCAAGGACCACAGACTTCTGCAGAAGTGTATCGTATCCTGAAGCAGAAAGGAATGCTGGACAAGTGAGTAAGAACAGATAAAACAACTTCCACATATTCCTTTTTTTATCTCCATAATTCTTTCTGCATATTATTGATATCTTCATAAAACTAATAGCCAAAAAGAAAATCACTGTAATAACAGTAGATTAAAAGTTCAAATCGGAGAGAGAAGTGAATAGAACCTCAAAATTATGTTGATGTAAATAGAGCTGTTAGTGTGATTTGTGAATGTCCTTCTGTTTCYAGAGGGTATTATTACCTTCCGCTGCTACAGAAAAGCACAGAAAGTGTGTTTTAATATGACAAAAGAAAAAAAAATACATGAAAATAGAAATAGAGCTTCCTAAAGAGACTGTGAAAAGTCTCTACATCTCATTTCTTTGTAGGAAAATCAATACTTACCTCCAAGGAGAGGAGCTTGGTGATCATATGAGTAGCGTGACTGCCTCTACCACATGGTTTCTAGCTTAGATACTGCAGTTCTCTTTCCTAATGTGACTTTCAGTTTGCTGTAGGTTAAAACCTGCTGTCTGCTTCTGTAGGTCAGGGGGTGGTTTTTTTGTAGTGTAAAATGAAGCAGATTGTCTTGGCTTTGTTTGCTAGTATTCAAGTCAGAACATRAATGGTTCCTACAGCCACACACACAGTTGTCTCTGTATGAGATTAAGGGATGCATTTATCTGTTCCTGTTTGTAAAAGAGGTARAACTAGAAATTTAAGAACTGCCAGYCAAAAGCCCAAGCCTTGTTATTTTTTTTTCAAAAGCAATTTTTAAAGTCTAATTTTAATGGATCGGATACATTAAATCATTAATGTTTTAATATTATCTTTTCATATAAGGTACCTAAGTCTGTCTCCTCAGTGTACAGTAATTAAGCTAACTGCAGAAAAAAATTAATTCAAATATTGACTTCATTCTTTGCTGTTTACAATTCCCTAAATGAAACAGAATGCTGTGTTTGAGGGTTGTTWTCTATTGTGTTCTACCTTACAAGAGATAGAGTGCATTATAGATGATTTCAGGTTGTGTTTTTAATGAAAGACACGAAAACAATGTTGCYAATTTCTTTTTGGTATGTCAACATGTGTATCGGATCTTCATGAAAGGTCTCGTTCAACAAGACTTTTGAAAGCAACTTTTTAAGTGTTTTTCAAAAACCGGTGCTTGAAAACATAAAACACAGTAGAACAGCTATGCTTTCAATGTGAAGAGGTAAGAGTCTAGTAAAGGTGGAATTTCATATTCTGGTCCTACAAAAAGGATCTCAAGGCTATGTAGAAGTGTGCAAAAGTCAAAGTTTACCGGAAGAGCCTTGGTAGCAGGGTTGATGCCTATTGATACTTGTGGTGCAATTACTTTTTTTCCATTTCAACAGTTGTAGACCTTGCCCTCTTGATGTGCTCAGGCCTAAGATGTGTTTGGAATTTGCTGGCCCTGAGCCWTCAGTCAGCTTTGGTACAGGTTTCTCCACATGAAGTGTGGCAGACCTGTGCACAGTGATAAGCAGCARGACTTAGGTATCAGGCTGTGGTTTGGAGTAGTGGTGCTTCTTCACTGAGAAGTAACTGCCAGTTCTATATCTAAAGCTGTGGAAAACTCGCTTTTGCTAATTTCACATGTTTTGTGGTCATGTCTTGCATAGGCACAGCAAATTTTATTAGTGCCTACGTGTAAGCTTTTATGGTAACAGTAAATTYAGCCCTCCTTCTGCCCAGTACATCACACAATGTGAATTTTGTTAAGGAATGCAAAAGTCATTGGGTGATTTTTTTTCTGCAGATTTCCTAGGAAGGGTTTTGCAATCTAAGCAGTGTAGCATTGGATTTGAGAGAGCAGCTATGTGGCTGTGTGATAATTTTTTTGCACCGATGAAATAAATAGAAACAAAACTCAAGTCAGCCTAGTTCAGGGTGATGTGCTGATACCAGAGTTACTGCAGTGTGACATGTGACAACAGAATGTATAGGCCATCATATATGGTGCTCGTACTGCTCAACACTGAAACGTACATTACGGATAAAGCCTTGGAGTGACTGGTAGGACAGCTTTCCTAAGGAGAAAGTCYTAGTCCAGATGTTTTCTGAATCACTCAAAAATCAACTATTTCACCATCTCCGGTCACCCTTATTTTTCATTTCCATTGGTCAGAATTCATCAGTATAAAAGGCCATGCTGAAATGGCATATGTACTTAGTAAACAGATAGTCAATCCCTGAAATTCACCAGGCTTTGTATGAAAATGGAACTTGTCTGTATGTTACTGTCTGGGATGGACAGAAAGCAAATAAAAATTTCTGTGAAGCATCTTGTCTGTAATGAAACTTGAGATTATCAGAGAAGCCTGAATAATTTGGAGGTCGTTTGAGATACAGCCAAGTTAAAAAAAAAAAAAAGTAGATATGGAATTTTGTATTGCAAAATCCAGGTTTAATTTTGGATTCTTATTAAAAACTTGACCTTTAGTGTCCTCTTGGGTAGCTTTGTGTCATACTCTGTATCATCAAATTATTGCTCAGAAGTACTGCATAACGGATGTGCCAGTCATCCTTTTTAACCACARATGGGTATTGCTGAAAGAACAGCCAGGAAAAATGTTTTTAGTTTATTTTTTAGGTCACTTTATGGTTKTGCTGTACATAATGAATGTCTCAGACACCATTATAGCTAGCTAGGCRTCTTAGAGTGACTCTGTTAGAGATGCATGCAGGTTCTGTAGTTGTCCCCTGCTTTTCAGCCCAGCACTAGCACCTGACAAAGAGAAAAAAGAAATAATTTTTCCACTTCTCCCTTTTCCCCCTTCCTCTCCTTACCCCTTAATTTTTCTTTCATTTAAGAAAATGTTATAGAATAAACTTATGCTGTGTTCCCTTTCCCCACCGTCTTTCCTCAGGTTTCCACTCTTCACGGCTGTGTATCAAATCTGCTATGAAGGGAGGCCCGTCAAAGAGATAATATCTTGCCTTCAAAGTCATCCAGAGCACGTGTAAAATCCATCAGCCTGTTGTACTAATGCAGCTTTCTGCCTTTCGAATTCTTGTGTGGGTTCAAGTGGATGTAGCTATCATTAAGCTTTGTTCAAAGCTGCTTATTAGGCAACAGGAACAACATGAATGTCTCTGAGCGGGTGTTGGTGTTTGTTATCCCGCCTGGTTTGACACAGCATGCAGTGTTGGCTTGGTGATTGTCCTTTTACTGGCTAAAATGCATCTCTTTTAAGATACGCAATACAAAAGTTGCACTACATACCTGATACATATACACAAGTGTACTTTGAGTTTGTTCCTACACCATAAAACACAATGCTTTGTTGTCTCTTATTAAAGCTTAATCCAAAATCTGCTGGACACTGTGGGAAGAATCCCACTGGTTTTGATCAGAGACTGAAGCAAGCCTGTAACCTTGAAATATTAGGAATCTTTCTGTTAGAACTTTGTTTTATTCTATATACACAATTAAGTGTTAACATTTTGCATGCTTATGATTATATTAATTATATTAATATTTTGCAATGTTAATGCAAAACAAGTGGTAGCAKTTATTCAGGGGGCTACAGGGATATTTTAAGGAACTCTAGTGAAAAATATTCTGATTTTTGAAAGACGTTTAAATTGTCAGGCTACTTTGAAATCAATTTCTAAGTGAATTTAAAGTTTTTAATTACACTTTTAAAGGGAATGTTCTAGAGGGGGATCATTACCTCCCCTTCTGTTTTTTAATCCTTTCATTTTTGTATTTCTCTGTTTCTCCCTTACTGTTCCTAGGTATTAGGCTCTTCCAGAATCCCATTCCCCAAAGCAAGCCAGAGATGTTGACCTGRGGGTTCTGAGCCCTGAAGCCTACAGATCATTGTAGTGTTGTACCTGTGGTTATTCTTCACTGGTATTGTTGGTTGGATGGGGAGGAATACCTTTGGGTATCCACTGCTCAAAGTTATTCTGCTGTGTTTCTAGCTTAACTGCAAAATGTTGTGCGCTCCCCACARCACTCCAAGGAATGTCAGGGGAATTCCCAGGTACGACACAGGCTTGTGTTGTCAGAAGGGCTGTGTGCCAGTAYGATGATTGCATTCATTTCAGTGCCTGCATGTGGCATGTCCACTGGGCTGTAGTCCTGATCCAGCCTCCCCAGTTCTGGAGTTACTCTTTCACTGGACAAAATTTTTATGGGTGCTGAATCAAACCACCAGTCTCCCAGAAAGCTTCACAAAGGCATCTATCTCTTTTATTCCCCAGGTATCTCAGCTAGGTTTTTTCAGGAACCTTTGCTTTATCGTGGAGGTTAATTTTGTTTGTTATTGGAAAATTTGTGATTTAATGGAGTTTAAGGGAGGGGGATTGGTTTGGTTGGTCTTTTTAAATRTTTTAAAGATTTATACAAGAGAAGATGGGTAAAATCTGTTTTGCTTTTCTTGTACTAAAGTATTGGGGTTTTTTTATGAAATACACACTAGGTACATAAAGAGTGGACTTACTCTTCTGATTGGCATCAGAATTTATAAAACAAGACTGGCCATCTGCTCTGAATATCCACGCCTAACATCAGAGCAGTATCAGAATTGTTGTTCACTATTCTTGATGGTGGTTTTAGACCAGAAATCATAAGCACAAACCCATCCTGAAACTTTTATGTTGTCATTCAAAATTTGCTGAAACAAAGAGGAAGCCTGYGAATAATTGTCATGCTTACATAGCCTGGATTATTCTGAAATAGGCAAGCATTAGGGCAGCTCTGTGTAAACAGGAAGACCCSTCAGCTCAGCGGTACCATTTTTTTGTGCTCCTATATTGTTTTGCATTAATATTTGCAAGATCTCATGAATGTCCTCAGATATTCAGGGGTGTGAAAAGTTATTTTGCCTTACTTCTGATTTAGTGCTAAATATAAGAGATGGCCAGAAGTTAAGTGACATCAGATATTTGTTGCAGTTGGGAGCATCACTGGGTAGAGCTGACTTGAAGCAAGCACTCTGCTTGGATGTTTAAGAAGATGTTTTAAGGTTGGAATCACTGTTACGCTAACGCACACATGGAGCAAACACTCCTCATTACTGCATAACTTTCAGTGTGTTTGCTTATGCTTTGTTTTGTTCTGTTTTTTAATACCAAATTGATGGCTTTTCCTTTGTGTACATATACATTATATATGTAAACTTTTTTTTTACATGCAGTATGTACATGCAGTAGCATTTTGTAAGATACATAAAGGGCTATATGAGCTAAATGTGGTAAATTAATATATATTTTTAAATTATTTCTGTATTATTCCAATACTTCTTCCATCAAAACTCCCAAATTTKATTGTTCTTGTTTTGTAGAGAAGCCTATATTATAAGGCAAATCCAAAGGARAGGTTTTTATGAAATTCTTTCCTCCAGTCTATTACAATATCCTTGKTTTTTTCAGACAAGAAGTGAGGTTTTAGTAACTAAAATAACAAAAATAGTTTCTTTAAATTTCTTTTGGTAGTTCACCATTTGCATTTGTTTTTCAGTGCTGGATAGCACTCATCTTGGCACTAGGCATTTTTCCCCCACTAATACTTACTGCTCATTAAAAGACTGTGACATGGTACTGGAAGTGAATGATTAGAATCCTGTTTGCAAACATTCTCTTTTGCCTAGTGCTGGAATAGTCTTACTGGAAACATTAACCCCTCTGTAAGGGGGACATGAATTTGTAACTATTTCTTGGTTTATGAACTTTAATTACTAAGGAAGGCATTACATTCTAATGATACTTACTGAACTTGCCCTCRTCATATGTACTGATTTTGTTTAGAGATGTTGAATGTATACCTGTTAGTACAAATAAACATTTTTGTCTTGGGAATTACTTTGGTTTCTGTTGTCTCATTTTACAAGGCTTGCAATTAATATTTTATTCACTTGATGGAATGTAGGTTTTTCTGGTTGTGGTATKTAATGATAGCAGATATGAGGTTGCCATGCAAGAACATAAATTTTAAAAAGAGCTATTTGGCATCCAGATGTCAGCATTTTTTTACTCTCCATTTGTGATGCAATTGTGGTGTCTTTGACCTCTGAAAACAGGTTCTTGTCTTCAGTTCCTTCAATTGCTGTGGGAGCCACTGGAGGGCACTGGTCCCTAAGTGACTGATCCCACCCTCTGCAGTTTTCTTCCGATTTATTTGTGGATTTCCTGAGGTTCCTGTATGACTGCACCCGTCTTACAATGTCTCCTTGTATTTAGGAGATGTTTATAATCCAGCACCAGATGCATGTGGTGTAGATCCACTGGAACTGAAGGAAGGAGCTTGATATAAAATGCCCAACACGTTATTATTACCTCTGCCCAAGGCACTGCTTTGCCTGTCATCTAAGATCCTTCCAGTACAGGGCCACAGCCTCTAGCTCAGCTCTTGGAMAATACGGTCAGTGAGATCTTTCAGTATCGCTGGGGTTCCTGAATTGTGTACCCAGCAATGTTTGTTTCTGTTGGGTGTTGAAGTCGGAAGACCTTGTGAAAGAACAAGAGCTCATTGTGCTCAGTTTTGTCAGWGTGTAAGTCAGCCAAAGGGATGAGGGGTGTTACAACTGTTTAAGCAGGGAAAGGACAGTCTGCCACTTAGTGTGGGACACCATACTATAAAATAAGTATGGTTTTCTTGATTATCAGAATAATGTACTGCCTACTGAAAGCCACAGAGCATTTAATAAAATGAGAGCAATGTCCTAATCCATCATTTACACAGAGGGATACCAAGGGAAGTAAAGGKGGTTGCCCATCAAATCTGTGCCTGGATGCATTTTATTCCTAATTTTAAGATGGAATTTCAGCCATTAGGTAATTTCTTCTGGTACTTTTACCTCAAATTTTTTTAAGGGTGCATGAAATCAACCCCTAGAATAAATACATAGGTATCTCAAACATATCATCCAAAAGAGTTTAAATWCTAATTAGCCTGAGTCAACAGGAAAGTAAAAACCATGACAAGAGAATTAGGGTGGACACCTTTGTTTTGATATTTTCCGATGGGATCGTGCTTTCTCACTAAATCAGTGCAAACAGGCTCGGTGTCTCTCATTGACTGCAAGTTAACAGCCAGGCTGCACAAGAAACATGGCAGACAAGAAGTCAGTGTCCACAGTCAGTCTGTGCCAATGAGTCTCCATAATGCTTCCAGTCTGGACTTCATTGTAAGCCTGGAGTTGTATGAATGAATTACATGGATTTCACAGCAGTGAAATTGGATAATGCTGAAATAAAATGTCCTGGTACATATGGCATGTCACACTATTAAAAAGTGTAAAACAATTTATGTTCTACCTGTCTCCTGGCTGCATAGATTTTTTTCCTGTGATTTGCCATGAGCTGATAGAAATCTGAGCACTAAAAGGTAACAGTTCCATTTTGAATAATAGATGAGCATCTGCCTTCAATCCCAACATGTGCAAAGGAGAGGTGTTTGGCATTCAGATTAAATGAAACGTGGTTCTCCTTTCAGTCTGTTCTAACTTGATTTTAGATCCCTGCTTTGGGTAAGGACTTTGAGGTACTCTTGATCTTGTCAGTCTAATCCTGCTGTTATTGAAAACTATGGCAGAACTAGATTTTAAGAGGAGAAAAACAGGRTGATACACAGCATAATGGTATCTCTGTCAAAGTTCCCCATGTCTAAATTGAATTTACCTGTTTGTTATATTTGCCTGTTACCTACAGAGTCTGTTTTAGAGAGATTCAGTGAAGGGGAATTGGAGGGACCTTGCGAACCATTTGTTGAKTATTTCGGTAAGTTAGTAGAAACTGTGAGAATTACTGATTTTAAAGGTATATTCTTCTTGTAACTTATGCCAAAGGAATCAGTGAATGATAATTAAAGTACTGCTCTGACCTGTGTGAGCAGTCCTAATTGTTTAGGTGGAGGTAGCTGCCAGAGTCTGCTCACTGTAATCCACATTGATTCTGATGTTAGYATTGCTGCTTGTTGCTGCACTGCATGTTTCTTTTTTTCACCTGGACGAGAGTCATTTAGTGTCTTTCACCCTACAGCTTTTCTTCGTGCCTGTTCGAGCTTCCTTCTCATCTTTATGTAGCTGTACCTTTATGTGCTGTTTTGTAGTGAACCTTAAGAAGAGCTCTTCATATCAAAAAGTGGATGTGTGTACATGCTCACACATGCTCATCCACACAGGTAAGCCCCTACGTACCTTATTTTTGAATGTTTGTGTGCACAAATAAGCCTTGTAAGGTGCTGGGAATTTTGCACAGTATTTTAGCAAGGCCACCAAGAGGATTAATGTTCAGTTGCCTTTGCACTAGCTAATGCCCATCTATCCATTTAAAGCTGTCTGGCTGTGAAGCTAGTGCATAGATTTCGTCCAGCCTATTCTTGGTGCCTGGGATGACAATAAATCGGGTTGGGATAATTGAAAACATTGCTACTRTTTTAGGGGAACACTGTCACATCCATGCTACTGGTCTCTGAAGCTCCATAATGCCACATTTGTAAAGAATAGTGCATATTTCATATTCAGGTGAAAATAATAGTGACATTAATTGAAATAGTTTGCCCTTTCTTCCTCCAAATTTAGGTTTATTATAAACCAAATTCTTGTCATAGGAACATACTTCAGCTCTTAGTGTGATAGTTTTTCTTTCTGTATGGTTTGTGTTTTTGAGGACTTGATGAGTATCTTTCAGTTTGATGATTACTGAGCACAGGCATGTGGTAGGCTCAGAAAGCGCAGCYCTGGGGATTTTTAGTTTGCTCTTTTGCTTTTTGAAGGCTGAAGAGAACTGGAAAGCAAGCCAAATCTGTTAGCAAGCACTGGTTGGGTTCCTGATCTACATCATTTTAAATACTAGTATTTAAAATGCGGAGTCAAACATAAGCACTTGCATCACAGCTGCTCAGGACTGTGAAGCTTTTTTTCTTTTCTTTTTTGCCCTTCTTTTTTGTGGTACCTACTCCCTGTAATGTTGCATCAAGAGATAAACCTACATGCATTGTGATTTGTGCTCTTGGAGGCTCTAAATACTCAAAAGCAAAATGGGCACAAAGCAAGCTGTACTGTCCTGTGATACTGAGCAGAGCCAGCATTGACTATGCTTGTGCTTTGGATTAAAGCCCAGGTTCTATAGAAGTATTTTTAGTTGTAYATTTAAGCCCACTTTATATATTTTTCTAATTCCCATTTACTGTGCGGATTTGCAATGGAATGTGACAGAGATACTTTCTGTATATTCTGAGTAGTTTGTTTCTGGGCTTTTTCTGTAGCCCAGAATTTAATGTAGATTTCATCAACATAATTTTCTTGAAGCTTCAAGGTAGATGAAAATTGCAGTAGCACTTTATCTTGCCAGTCTCCCCTTGTCTGTGTTTAGTCTTACCCTTCTGTTTTCTTTATCTGCATTTTTTCAGGCTGTAGGCTACTATAGATTAGGAATACTTCTCATTACTTCCAGAGCTCTAGTCAGCATGGAAAAAAAGGATCAGCATACTGCCACGTGCATTTAGCCTTGTCTTAYGTTTGATGCCCAGCAAACAGTTTAAGTGGAATAAGGTCTTCCACGCTTTCATACTCTTGGTATCAATCCTCATGCCACTCCCATCTTGATTCATATATTGAGTGTTTTAAAATGGCAGAAGCTCAAGTATTTTCTTAGTGGTTTCCCTGGTGTTGTTGATCAGGCTGCTTTAAGTCTATGTTTCGATCACACCAAGATTTTGGTAGCTAGCAATGATCTTTAACCCATCAGTGGTTAAGCTTTATAACAAAAACTGTTATGATGTATTCCTGCTCTAGAGCTGCAGTATCCTGCACTTAGCTGTATTGTACYTACTTGTCATACTCACTGAAGTTATTTTTTCCCCCCCAAAAATCTTGTCTCCATCTTATGATACATTATTCACAGATGCATTCTCAAACACAGTAATTGAGCTCCTTGAAACCATTTGACAGAGGAATGTGCAGTTTCCAGGAATGACAGTTTCCAGGTGTGGCTTTTCTTCCAAAATACGTTGTGGTTGCCTTGACAATACTGGGCACCACAGAACAGCAGAGGTGTTTGTTAGCAGGCAYAATTACCTTCCTGAAAGCAATCAGGTTAGAGTGGAATGGGGTTGCACTGCAAGCCCTACAAGTAAATTGTTTTAAGTCCTTACTATGTGTGGAGAAGAGAGGGAACAGAATGTGAAGTATTGCATTTGTTGGAACATGAGGAATGAGCCCAAGTCAGTTTTAACAGTGCAAGAGACAGTAATGCAAGAACGTGTCCTGAAATACAGGAAGAATGAAGAAAAGGCTGTTGAGAGTTGATTGGACTCCCTTTTTAGTCTGTCATTCTCTACCAGGCTYGGCTTCATGGTAACAGCTTAGTGCAGTAGTGTTCCTTCCAAAACTAAAACCTGGAAAATGTCTCCTCAGAGAACTTAGCAGTTGCTGAAGTGRAAGAGAGATTTCACAAGCACACTTAGCATTATCAAAATGCATAGAGATAAAACAATTGCTATTGAAGTTCCCTTTCCATTCCATGTATTGCTTCTMCAAGCAAGTGATGGAAGACTCCTAAGATGAGAAAAAWATGCTGTGCATGCATTCTARACAGCTTGCACAGAGGAAATATGYACTTCACTCACTTTGCTGTGGGATYCTGGGAGTTCATGCRATGATAGTTGTGAGAAAGGCAAGAGAAACAGCTGCAACCTCCTCCGGATTGCACATAATATATTTAATAAGTGAGAAGTAATCAGAAGTGTTAGTTACTTCTTCATCAGATTGTGATTTTTCTCAGAGCTAAGCTAAGCAGGATTAGGTCTCACTAAGTAGTCAGAGATAAGCCCTCAGTGCAAAGCTCCTCAAAAT